TGTGATAACAACAAAAAAGATGAGATCAATAATCCAAATATAAATTGTGAAAATAATAATTCCTCATCCTAGAAGTTCAGACAAATTATCAAATTGGTACAGACTTGATGATGCAGTAGACTAATGGAGGCAACTGGAAAAACTCCATCAAAAATTTACATTCCTATACAGATGTAGAGACCTAAAGCTAGTACTACCGGATGATAACAATGTCAAAGATGGGGACAATAGTCCAAATATAAATCGTGAAAATAAAAATAATGTTCTTCTTATAAGAGTTCTGTCTTGTTCTGGTTTCCCATTTTCAGTTCCTTTATTCTAATTTAGATATGTGAGTGGGGTGATGGATAGCAGATCAAGGTCAGGTTTCAGTCAGGCTTGTTGCATTCACTTGTGCAAAAGTGTCTTGGGTGGGGTTGGAGTGTAGATCAATCTCTTTGTGAACCCCCCAGCTATGGGTTAAATAGTAGGACAAACAGCTCTTCAGCCTTTGGTGGTAACTAGTCTAGAAGGACAAATTTGATTTCAAAACTGTATGTAGCCCTGGCAAAGCACATACTATGCAGCTAAGGAAATATTGTGGATTCCATGATTCCAATTGCAGTCGGCCTTCATTGATTGATTGATAGATTAAAAAAAATGGTTTACTTTTTAATGAAACACATTGTGATGTTAGGAAGGATAATTACTTCAGAAGGCTGCCGGGATGTCTGCCCACAGCCACTCATCATCCCTGTGTCAAACCAACACGTTTTATGGACATGGACTTCTTATCCTTTCAGAAATGTCAGCTTGGCAGCAGCTTTTTTTTTTATTTATTTTTTATTTTTTTCAGTTATTATTGACAGCTAACATCAGCATGAATTGTTTTAATCTCATTTCCAATGTTCTTAATGTTGAATAGCTTCTGGGCCTTGAGATCCATTGTTTGTGCATTGGGGAGGTCAAACTTCAGTGGAGTTTGATCTCTGTTTCTAATATGTAACATTTACTTTGTTACGTCATGTCATCTGATGCTGAGACACAGAAACTCAAGTAACTTGTCTTGCAAATCTGCTGACAATCTACTTGTCAATGAAGACATTTTTTGACTTGGAAGTACATTTGGATTGTTTGTACTTGAACAGTAATGTTTTTTTCCTTGCTGTATTTCATAGAATGTATATTATAGGTCTGTCAAATTAATGGTACATACTTACAGCTTATTTTTTTCTTACCAAATCTACTACTATCACAATGTGGGTTTTTTTAAAAACGGCAACAATAACAAAAATATTGGGAGGCAAATGAAATCTGCTAATTTGTACGTAAAGACCCATCGGATGCCAGAAATTTAGTTTTGCATTCCAACATCTTCACTGTTCCTCTTGATGTATAATTATCAATGTTTACTAATGTTTTTGTTTAGATTCTCCCTCCCTCCCACTCTCTCTCTCTCTCTCTCTATACATACATATATATTCTCTCATAAGATTGCTCAAATATTCAGGCCAGTAGATGAAAATAAATAAATATACTGTTTAATAAATAACTGGAACTTCTACTCAAATACAATATCCAGTAAAAATAATGAATAAAGACAAAGTAATAAAAATATAATTCAATATTATTTTAGTCTGAATTCCTTTTGAAGGATGAAACATACTACATAGAATTTTTTCTATTTTGTCATTCAATTACACACAATTCTACTTCTACATGCATTTGGGAGGTTCGTGCTCATAGCTGTCCACAACTTCCTGTCCTTTGTAGCACTAATAAATTTCGTCTTTTTTCAGTCTTCAGTTGAGATGATAATTCATTAATTTTATTTACTGACTTGATACATGCAATTAAGGCATCGTACAATTCACTAGAGATGCTTTGGTTTCAAGATGGTGTTTCTGTTATGTTTTGCATTACCTCTCTGCCTAGAAGTAGTCATAGTACAGTCCTCCATGTTCTGAATAGCAACCGGGTTTTCTAGGTATAGCCCTCATATGTTCACCAGTTGTTCTCTATTTATGCTTGTCTAATTTGCATATGATACTACAGTTTCTTTAATAAACACTCCACATGTTAGTAATCTTTTCTTTGGGTAAAGGGGGCAAATCCTCTGTAATGGCCAAAAATTGCTGGTCAGTAACTAGAACATGAATATTCTCAAGGAGGACTTTTTTTTTAATTTTAAAAAATTTTTTAAAATAAGGCTTACAATTTAAAAAAAATTGTCTCCTCTTTTTTTTATCACATTTAAGGTAATTGAGAAAAACTCGACAATAATGCATTAGGGTGAGTCGTAAGTAATTACTGTTTTTGAGAACCAGTTGTAATTATGAATCATTAAAACTACTAATCATATGTGACAAAAATATAAAATTGAAGTACACTAACATATAAAGATATTCAATGCAAGGTTAAATCTCTACAACCAACCTCAAAAGTTCAGTTCCATGGAAGAAAGGTAATGTTGTGTCATTTCCATTGTATTCCTCATTTAGAGTTCTTAAAATGTGTTGTAGCATACCTACAGATGCTCCCATTTCCCAAAATACAGTAGTGAATACTATATGTGTTGGTATGTGGTCTGCAGTTGGAGATTCATTGTGGAATTCATTTGACTCTCTTTTAGCAGTTGACTACTTCTACATGCGGCTGGCAAATCTTATATGTGTTGCTCATGTCCTAAGTATTATCCTTCATTACCTACCTTCATGTGATTATTCTATTGAATAACCTTCCCTAGGATACAACAAAATGTGATCAAATACTAAATGCAAATTTATATGTCCAACAGTTGCAATATGTCCATAAAGGTTTGGTCAAAAAGCCCCCAGCACTTGACATAGAGAAAAAGTGTTCCTCATGACAATGTAAGGTTGCATACAGCAAAAAGGACACTAGAAAGACATTTTTGGAACTTGGTTGGTCTGTTCAACCCAACTCACTATAGTCACTTGAATTTGCACCAAAAGAATATTGAAAAGTGTTTTGATTGGAAAAATTTCTTGAATGAAAACCAGATTCAAGAGTTTGATGAAAGATTTTGCACATTGAAAACTCTGGAATTTTGCTCAAATGGTATCAAAATTCACTAATATGTGGCCAAAAGACATTGTAAATGGTGAATGTATAATTGAGGATTGACTAAAATGTAATTGTACTTTCCTTTTTAAGAATAAAGTTGAAAAACATAAACAGAAATTATTTATGATTCAATTTAATACTTAATGTCATGAGAATATTTGAACTGTCAGAAGTTGATCCGTTGAGTAGAATGGAAAATTTGTGATGTTGACGATCAAGTTTCTTTTGTCTATTATTGGTCGTCCCATTAATGCGTCACTGTACTCTATTCACATTGAAGATTCAATTTTAGAAAAGGTAAAGATTTTATTTCATTACATTTTCAAACACATTTTTCTTCTTCTATGTGCTGTGTCCAATCAGGATGCTGCACAATTTCCTGTCCTATGTAGCCCTTCATAAATTTTGTTTTTTTGTTATCTCTTTTAAAATGTGTTCCACCATCCATTTACACAAACTCACTTTGTAGGTTATGCATTGTTCCTCTCTGTCCCTCTTAGCTTCAATCTGCCCTGTAAGTATTAAATTTTCCAAGGCTTCTTTCCTCATTATGATCCCTAGAAATTTCAACTATATCTTTCTAGTTTTGTATAAGTTTCTATTTTGTTCCCATTTTCACTAAAACTTCATTGTTACCCACATGTTAAGTTTTCTCAGCATCCTTCTGTAGAATCACATTTCTGTAGCTTGAAGTTTCTTCTTTATCTGTGAGGACATTGTTAAGCAGTCACTACTATATAAAACTGATATTATGTAACAGTTCAGTTGTCTTTTATTTTGTTTCTCAATACTTTGCTCAGCTTTTGGAAAGCATCTTTTGCTATCCCAATGCACCTTCAGATTTAAGTGTTCAGATCTCTGTTAAAACACTTCTCAAATATTTAAATTGTTGTGTATGTTTGATTTTGGTATCTCCAATTTGTAATTTGCATGTTGGGATGTCCCTTTTACTGACAATCATGATTTTGTTTTATTACAATTGATCTTTAGTTGCTCATATTATGATCTCTTGATCAGTGGTATGATTTTTTTCCTTTGCTTTGGTAAGGAGGTTATTCTATGATGTCTTCAGTCCTCCTGGTAGGTGCTTTAAAAATGTCTTCAAATTTGGTTACAACAGCCAAAACGTTGCAATAAATATGGTAACAAAGATGAGGATGATAGTCCAAGCAATGTAAATAGTGTACATAATACCTCATCTCAGAAATATAGACAGAATGTGATTAATGTCTGAAATTTTTTTCAAATTTTCAGCACTTTTTTTTTTTTTTTTTTTTTTAAAAATGAACAAATCTTTGAACTGATCAGAGTGAATTCTTTCAAGGTGGTCTTTCCTCTTAGCAGGTTTCATGGCATCTTTGTCACAAGCCAATATGGACAGTTTCATGAGAAAATGATGATACAAATCCAAATTTCAATTAGTTTTTTAAATATTTTTGCTATTTTGTTTTAGAACCAGTCCACCATTCTGCTTATGCAATATTAAATGACAAAGCAGTATATGACAAAAAATAAAATAAATGCTCAAAATGTAGATAAAGATTTTATTGAAACATGATTTTCATAGAAAAATGATCAGAAAAATGAAAAATAACATCTTAAATGTTTTCTACCACCTTTGTCCATAGTAATAACACTTGTATCCATATGTTGTCAGTGTTTGAGCTTCAGATAGTAACACGGGCTGCGATAATGTTGAGTGTGGGGAATAGTTCCAGTGCAGGTAAGTGTCATGTCAATGTACAGGTGCTAGCTTTGCTTAACTAGAGTCGTTAGAGAAAGATTGAGAAATAGGATGTCTATTCTGGAGAATTAGTACATATGATCAAAGTTCTGGATGTCCATGCAGTACAGGGCCTTGCCAATATTAATGCATCATAAAGGCATCAGTGATTGATCAGAGAAAATGTTGTGCCCAAACGTTTGGAGGCTTACAGCCACATCATGTTCAAGCTCTGTTTCCCATACGATCACCAAAGTTAAGCAACGTCAAGCCTTGTCAATACCTAGATGGGTGGCCACTTGGGAATACTGGGTGCTGTAATCTTGGATGTGTGGGTGGTATAATAGAAAATGGCTTAGAATTGTTAATTGGAGGTCAGTGTTCCAATTCCAGTTGTCTTCATTACATTCACTTATGCACAAATATCTTTGGGAAAGGTATAAATCCACCAGCTATGGGTTAACTAGTGAAACTTGTATCACTAAACTATTATTATCTCAAAAAAAATTCTTAGAATCTAAAAATATTTTCTGGCTTTAAATAATCTGCAAAGGGTTGATAAACTGTCAAGTGAATCAATCAGTAAAAACAAAAAGACCATTCGCAATTGATTATTTATAGCAAAATTACAGACATGTATACTTCTTTCCAGACTTTGACCTAGGCTACAGTACAGATGGGCATATCGTCACTGGTGTCACAAGTGGGTTACCTGGGGAGCAAATGGTGCTCTATAATGTTCAGTGATTTGAGCAGATTCTGCCTTTATGCAAGTGATCATTGACTGCATGTGCCGCCAATCATGACTAGTAACATCTTCTGAAGTGTCTTTTCCCATGACACACCAGCCCAACCCTTGGCATCATGGTGTTGCATGCCATAAGTTGAAAATCTTGTTCAACTTTGTGTGTGTGTGTGTGTGTGTTTGTTGAGAGGACATGGAATAGAGCCAGGTATACCGAGAAAATTATTTAACTTGTTCTAATTCTATTCCTCCAAGAAGACGCTGTTATACCTTTCTAATACATGGAATTTGTGCTGCTCAACATTCTACATTGATACAAATGATAGACTCTTGGTGTTTATAGGGGGAACATTAAATAGTACTAGGTGTTATATAATAGGTTGTAAAAACAATGCTGATTGGCTGACACAGTCAAGATGCTATCTGTAAAAATTATGTCGATTGGCTAAGACAGAGCCAATACATTTATATACATATACCTGAAATAAAAACAGTTGCTAACAATCACTTGAAGTGGCTGCACATGTTCCCTTTTTCAAAATACAACACTCTGTTGGCTGAGGCTTCAGAATATACCAAAGGGTAACCCCCCACCCCCATTCAATGAGGCCACCTGTTTGCCATGGGTGGTGATCCATAATGTCCAGAGATGGGATCCTGGTGGTTGAGGGCTTCAGGTGTCAAGGTTAGATACTTCAAATTCTCAACACACCATTTTATCCCTTACTTGGACTAGATAGGTGGTCAGAGAGGCCTGATCCAATCAGTTGGCTGGTCATGTCAAGCCCTGGTGCCTATAACTATAATAATTTATGGAGTACTTTATATCAAATTACAATGCCCCAAATATACACTGGGATAAAATACCATTTCTATACAATTTATGGGCATTATAAGGTGATATCTGAGGGTTAAATCAGTGAGAAGAGATCTAGACTTATGGCTGTGAACATGCCAGTTTGTACACTTCAAATTTGGGAAGTGCAACAAATGGTTTAACAGGTGTTCAGTCTCTCTCAAATATGAGTATACTGGTTTGTGTAGCCCTGACCTGTCAAGGCAACTGGGTTTTCTCCAAGGCTCAGTGGTGAGTTGTGAGCACAGACAGTGAATTTTTTTTTTAGATCAAAATTATGAATGACTGAAACAAAAAACCCAAAAGATATCTTTCAGACACTGATTCTGAAAAAGAATTAAGTACTGAATTTCCAAGATTTCTTGTGCTCACGTTCCTAGATGAAACTTCTCCCCTTTTTTTAATTGTAAAAGTACTATCTGGCAGGATTAATCCCAAAGCAGTTGAGAAATTGAGCAATGGCTATTTTCTGGTAGAAGTGGAAAACAGAAAGTGTAATCATGATGAAGATTTTCCATAGCATCAAAATAAAAACCTTCCCTCATGAAAGACTGAACACTTCTAAGGGAGTCATTAGAAGCAGAGAATTGTCTTTGGCCATATTCGAGGAAATCACATCTGCCTTAGGAAGCAAGGGGTCAGTGATTACTGTTGAATCACAAAAACGAAAAGAGAAACTATAACAACAAACATGTATATCCTTACTTTTGTCACACCTCTAATCCCTAGAAAAATAAAAGTCAGTTACAACATTGTGCTAGTGGAACAATATATTCCTGCTCCACTAAGGTGCTTCAAGTGCTAAAAATTTTGGCATCGTGGGGATAGCTGTGGGAGTTACCCAACATGTGAAAAATGTTGCCAAAAGGATTCAGACCACATGGAAGAAGAATACCACTATGAAGTAAGATGTGCTAACAGCCAGGAAAACCATCCAGCATACTCAAGATCATGCAACTTTGGGAAAATGGAAAAGGTGATAGTCGAGGTGAAACATAAACAAGATGTCTCATTCGTAGAGGCAAGGCAAATTATAGAAAGCTACATAAAAGGCCCTTCCTATACAAAAATAAAGCAAGGAAGGACCATGATGAATACCAGTCAACCTGACAAATATGGGCCCCTCATTGATCATTCCTATTCCAAAACACCTAGAAAGGATGACACAGACCCTGAAAACTACAGACTGATAACATTAACCTTAGTGCATGTGAGGTCCCTGTCTGGAAGATGGATCTTCAGACACTGGAGAGAAAGAAAACTGATTTTAAGAAACATTTCATATATGAAGACAGTTGTAATTTAGTTACATATCTATTATGCTGAGTTAACCCTGGCACAAGACAAACAGGAATCAAACTGTGATGGCTTACAAGTCAAGCTTGTTAATCACAACTACAGTTAAATATATCAGAAGGCATTTGACTGTCATGACGATTTTGCATTGTTTCAAATATAAAAATATCTGGGTTATTATTATTTAAAGTAAAGAAATGTTGAATCTTTTACATACTTAGGAAGTGAAATAAATTCTACTGAAAAGGATGTGAAAATTCGCATAGCTAATGCCTTGAATACCTTGAATAAAATGGATGTAATTTGAAAATCTGATCAACTAGACAACCTCAAACGGAGATTTTTTGAAGCAGCTGTAGAGGTAGTGTTAATGTATGATGCTACTGTTTGGACATTAAGTAAAACCATGGAAGCTACACTCAAATGCTGAAAGCTATACTTAACATCTCTTGGAAAAAAAACATCAAACTAAATCACAGTTTTATGGACCCATCCCTGCTATTTCTACAATCTTGCATGAATACATAATTCACTTTGCATGATATGCTGGTGAGTAAAAAAAAGAATTTTTGAGTCATCTACTGCTCTGGAGACCTAGCCATTAAGGCAGCTAGGTTGATTGCTCAGCAGCAACTTTACATTGACCATCTATGTTATGAAACAGAATCCCTCCCTAATGACCTTTCAACCTTGATGCAAGCCCATTTTGGTTGACATGATAGATTCATGAATGTCCACTTGTTCAAATAAATAATAATAAAAAAACTGAAAGTTTAATTTTTTTTTTTTTTTTTGCATGTGCAATATTTCATGGTACCTTTTTATAAAAAAAAATAAAGACAAGCACAGTTTTACTTTTGTGTCAAGAGGACAAGGGACCCATTTTTTTTCATTAGTCAATTTGACAATTGTCAGTGAAATTATGTTGATTTTTTTTTTTTATGAAATGGGTTTAAAAACTCCCCTTCCTCTATCCCAATTACTTAGCTTAAGGTAATTTGAAAAGTTCAGAGGTCAGGTAAACGGTTGGTATCCTTTCTTTATGGCACACTGAGAAGAGAGTAGAAAAAAAATGTAGGAAGACAGGGCAGAAAAAAAAAATTAGTTTTGAAGGGGAGGGGGAAGGTGTGGGAACTGGTTTTGGTCTAACAATTTTAATTTTTTTTTTTTTTTCCTCTCTTTTCTAAATTCCACCAAAAGTCGGTTGTTTGCCTTATTATTGCCAACTATGGGTATGCTGTGACATTTGAACTCAATTTTTCCTCTCTTCTCCTTCCTACCTTCTTTTCAATCTTAACATGTGATCCTATCACATTTTGTATGCTCCACTGTTTTTGTTTGTTTTTTTTTTTGTTTTATAAGTGCATACATTTTACATATCGATTTTAATGACTTCAAGTATCCAATCATCTTTTCCCTTGCATGTCCCTTGTTTTAAAACATGAGTTTATACTGTCAAAAAGAAAAATATCCATGCTACTTGGACAGATATGATCAGCCTTCTAAGTAACTGAAGAACAATCATGGATTGTTTTCTGATTGCAGTGAAATGTAATAAACAAAAAACAAATGAATAAACTTTGTCATTCTATTCATAGTGTATGAATTAGAAATTAGTTCCTGCTTGCACTTTTGGTAAATAATATGATTTTAAGCAAGTTAATAATTAAAAAATTTTTAAAATGTTGATAAGGTATCTATAAGCTACATAAGGTGTGACTGTCTATATTTCTGAAATGAGTTATTGTAAATATTTACACTATTCAGACTGTCGTCCTCATCCTTATTGTCATATTCATAATGTTTTGGTTGTTGTACACTCTGGCCTTCTTCAGGTGACATACGTTAGAATTTCAAACTACAGTAGGTTGTTCTAATTCCACATTCCATGCCTTTTCTGTATATCTCAGTTCAAAATTCTAACATATATCACCTGAAGAAGGCATTCAACAGTTGAAATGTCATGAGTATCACAATAAAGATGAAGACGACAGTCCAAGGATTATATATATTTTGTTTGTTTTTTGTTCATTTGTTATATTTCACTGCAGTTCGAAGACAGTCTGTGATTGTTCATCAGTTAAATGTTGGTTATATCTTTTAACAAATGTAATTGATTTACCAAGGTGGGTCAAACGTTTTGCATGTCATTGTCTGTATAGTGTAATGCTAATATTTTTTTTTTTTTTTTTTTTTTTTTTTTTTTTTAGATCTTTCAGTTTTTGTGTACAGATAAATTCATTTTTTTTTTTTTTATCCACATGCACAGGTGGTTTGCTCCCGTTACTTTACCTTGAGCTCCTTGATAAAATCCAAAGCAATATTAATGGGCCTGATCTGGCAGCTCAGCTTCAGTTACTTTTCTCCCATCATAAGATAGCTTCTCTGAGATCTCATCAATTTGTAGTTGCGCTGGTTAGATGTA